AGTGAAGGAGAACACAGGTGGGGCAACCGAATTGTATTTAACGAAAATTACAGTTACTCAGTAAAATAGGAAAACCATATCGTGACCGTTAATTTGCAAATCTTCAATCAATCATCAATCCATTGTCTGAAATTTCACTTATTCATGCGTTTCATACAAATTCCATTGTGCTCTAACTCTTCCTTTCTTCATCTTCCCCCATCTTCTGCTGCCAGACATTACGTTGACACTCACGTCATATACTACTTATAAGTAGCGCGCACCACAGAAGTATTAACAGTGATCGGAAAGACTAGTGATTGAAAATATTATTCAAAGAGTTTAATCTAGTGGAATAAGCTTAAAAAGAGAGGAATCCGAAGGATTAAGATTTAAGAGAAGCCAAAGAATGGATGCATCTGTGCCATTGCAAACGATTCCGAGCCATGTCATTTGAGGTCTCTAACCATCGATTACTATCATCTCGCGGACCCCAACCAGGTAGTCTACACTTATCAACATGACTCAGTCCAGTTGTCAGTGACTTCATGGATTTCTGCCATGTTTTGGTTTGGCTGGCCCTAGCTTTCTTCCCACCTACTCCTACACCTCAAAACATTGCTCTTCGAGGCAGTCGGTGGTTAGGCATACGTAACAGCACATTTCCCAACCAGCTCAACTGATGAAGTTTCAATACTTCATCAATTGATCTGCTATCCTTACCTAGCACCCGTTTCCTAAAGACAGCATTGTTTACTCGATAGTCCCAACCATATATGTATACAATTACTGGTCCAGGCGGAATCTAAAGACTTAACAATGACTGTCCACTAAACAGATAGATGTTCATGACACGAAGTGATATATTTACATTTATATATATATATATATATATATATATATATATATATAATCTTTACACCTTTTGATTTATTTGTATTAGCTTTCTGCTCCAAGTTCATTATCTATGCCTGAAGTGTTCACCAGCACAAATGGTGATTTAACAAGAAAAACATTTGTTTCTCTTGGATCATTAGATTTAGAAAAATTTGATATTGTTGGAATTGTACACAATACAAATTCAAATCTTGATTTAAACAATAATGAAAATGATAATAATCTAGTTGAGAAAAATTCTTTTCATGAAAATAATAATAATTCTTATCCAAATATATTCATTGTTGATAAAATTCCAAATATTTTATCTGGTAAAACAATTTATTTTCATAATACCATGAATAATATTCCAACGATTACAGATAATAATCGAATAACAACAACAACACCAACACCTACTACTACTACTACTACTACTACTGCTACTGCTACTACTACTAGTAGTAGTAGTACTAATAGCATTTATAATGTTGCACACAATTCTTATTCTGATGTTATTTGTTGTAATACAGTAAGTAATCAAAAAAATCCACATACAACTATGTCATATTTACTTCCTCGAGTTTCTATACAAGAAATTAAAGAGACGACCAATTCATCAAATACACTGATAACCTCCTCATCATCATCATCAAATATTTTTACTGTTCGTCGAACAAGGTAATTTTAGTTTTATAATTTATTTGATTGTTTGTTTTTGTTTTTCTGTAGTTGAAAGTGTATTTAATAAGGTTTAAAAGCTTAGTGTAAACATCAGATATTTGAACTCTCTGTGGACATAGTGAGATCAAATTGATGATTTTGCTCGGATCGTGTATGCGCGTTTCAGAGACTCAGCGTACATTAATGCTGTCACACACTTCTTGTTGGGAATGTTAGATCCCCAGAACTCGCTTGTCAAATGCCTTATTTTGGATTTCACGTTTGCGAGCATGGGCTGACCAGTTGACCTTGAGATTTCATTTCCCGCCAGGAAAATCCATGGCTGTGATTGGCTGCTTTGTATTTTAGTGTGCTGGTTCGTAACTGTCCCAAGGACGTTTCTATGATGTATAAATAAACGAGAGTTGTATGCTTGATTGTGATTGCTGGGTGTTTGTAGAATATACCTTCCTACGCTTACCAAGTCTTCTGTTTTGCAGTTTGGCATTCAAGGTAGCCTACTTGGACGCTGGTAATTGTCTCGTTCTCGTTTATCGACTAAGGTGAACTCATAATAGCTTCAAGCGTACCTACTGACGAACATAACACTTCTACAGTCAACAGTATGACGTCGCCTTCAGACCTTCAGTTACTGCTTTTAGTTTCGACGTTCTCCAATGGATCTGCCTGGTATGGTAAAACCTACAAAAACATATGTTCTAGCCAATATAGCTCAGTTGGGTCATTGCGATAGGCAAGCCCGACCACCACGTCAAGGTAGAAGTTACGGTCGGGTCCGCGAGATGATAGTAATCGATGGTTAGGGATTTTGAATGACATGGCTCAAAATCGTTTGCAATGGCACAGATGCACCCACTCTTTGTCTTCTCTCAAATTATAATCTTCTGAATTCCTCATCACCAGTATCTTTCTCTTTCAAAAGTTATCTCATTGAATTATACTTCTTGAATAATATCTTCGAACCCTGATCTTCTCCATTATCACTAATACTTCTACTATCTCTACCAATATGGGATTTGAACTAGCAGTTGCGTCTCTATGCTAATGTGGTGTCGCAACTTGAACTTATGTACGTACATACGAAGTTCTACATTGTAACTGACTGAACTGACTAAGTAGGTAACGAACTACAATACACAGTTAACAAGTGCTTGTTATTAATATCAACAGGCTATAAACATTGAATAAACTTTTCATGCATTCATTCACATCCAGGCTAATAACTGTTGTGTAGTCATTAATTTCATATATACAAAACGAGCTTTAATTTCCATCAGTAAAAATTAATGTATTACACTGAGTTTTATGTAGATACTTAAACAACTTGATCTTACGAAAGATGAAAGTAAAATGTTTCATCACTTATTACAAGTATAATTATTCACATTGTAGTGAATGAGAACACAGGTGGAGGCAACCGAATTGTATTTAACGAAAATTACAGAGTTACTCAGTAAAATCGGAAAACCATATCGTAAATCGTTCATTTGCAAAGGATCAGTTCATCCTATGGAACTGGACTGTTCCTGTTGCCAAACATCAATCCATTGTCACTCTTCATGCGTTCCAAACAAATTCCATTGTTTTCTGACTCTTCCTTTCTTGATCTTCCCCCCATATTATGCTACCAGACTTTACGTTGACACTCACGCTATATACTACTTATAAGTAGTTCGCACCACAGCACCACACTCGTCCCCCCTTTTAATAAGCTGTCGTCGCAGTCTTTCTGATCTCCGTACAGCCGTCTTCTTCATCAGTGTTTGTGGCTCGCCCTCTTGGCGCACTTGGAACCACCTTTGGAGTTCACTGGCATTCACGCGTTTCTGTTTGTTTCCTTTCTGGATCGTATACACTGCGCCGCGCCTCTCGGTGACGACGTACGGTCCCTCCCACTTCGGGATCAGCTTACCTGACCCTGGCCCTCTTCCTGTGGTATATTTCCGTTCTCTACACTTCACCTGATCTCCCACTTCAAACAATCTCCAGTTCTTTCTCTCCTGTTCTGACTTTTCCATGTCTGATGTTTGTTTCTCTCTCACATTCCTGATTGCTTGTCTCCGCTCTGTTCTCAATCTTGTTGCATTCCATCTCTGTTGTTGCGGCCAGGTTTTATCATGCGTTGGTAGTCTCGGCCGTCTGCCATACATCAGCTGGAACGGTGACTTCCTGGTTGTTCCCTGTGCCGAGGCACGATGTGCCAGCAAGATTAATGGTAATTCTTTCTCCCAGTCACCCCCTTTAGATGCTAGCCATTCCTTTAGCGTTCGGTTATTCCTTTCCGTTAACCCATTCGTCTGTGGATGATACGGCGTTGTTCGTACTCTCTTGATACCTAACTGCTTTAGACGGGACTTGAACTCATCACTCTCGAAACAGGGACCTTGATCGGTTAATATTATCTTTGGTATCCCATGGTCCGCCACAATGTGCCGCATTACCGCTTCCGTCACCGTCCTTGCACGTTGGTCCGCCATCGGCACGGCATTTACCCATCGTGTGGCATGCTCAGTCATCACCAGCAGGTACTGGTTACCACTTGTCGTCTGCGGGAACGGTCCCATAACATCTACTGACCATAAATCACCAACTGCTGTTACTGGAATTGACTGCAATGGCGGTCGTATGCATCGATCTCCTTTCATTAGTTGACATCGCTGGCACGCTAATACATATCGTGCAACATCGTCTCTCATACCTGGCCAGTACGCACTTTGTCGCAGCAAATCAGTTGTCCGTGCAATACCTGTATGCGCTACCTGGTGACATTCACGAATCATCTCCTGGCGCAGATCTTTTGGGATTATTGCTACCCAATTCTCGTCATCATCCCGCCAGGTCAAGGCTCCGTATCCGTTCACTCTCAGTCTCTCCTTCTGCCTCAGCAACACTGTTAATTCTTTATCTGTTCTACTCTTGTCAACATCTTCTCCCTCTTTTATCACTCTGATTACCTCCCGAAGGTTAGGGTCGGCTTTCTGATGTCGGACGAGTTCTAGGGGGTCTCCCTCTAGGCCGTTGACTGCACACGCTATCTCTGGAAGTTCGGCTTCGGTGTCCGGTCTTGACAAATAATCTGCCATTACATTTTCCTCCCCTGGCACATGCCCGATGCTGAAATCATACTCCTGCAGACGTAGCATCCATCGAGCCAACTTCCCCCGAGGGTCTTTTGCTGTTTTCAACCATTGTAGGGGCTTATGATCCGTCTCGATGTGAAATCGTCTACCTAAAAGGTACGGTCTCCATTTCTCTACTGCCCACACGATTGCTAGGCATTCCTTCTCGATCGTTGAATACTTCTGTTCGGCGGGTGTGAGAACGCGACTTGCGTATTCCACCACTCTATCAGCCTGACTCAATACCGCACCTATACCATGATCACTTGCATCTGTGGCCACTGTAAACAGTTTACCGGGTTCAGGCAGTCGCAGCGTCATCTGACGATCGTCTAGCATGTTTTTGATTCGGTTGAACGTTTGTTCGGCAGCCTCAGTCCATGTAAACTTGGTGTTGCTCAGCAACTTATATAAGGGCGCTGCTATTTCGTTGAAATTCTTGACAAACCGACTATAGAACGCCGCTCGTCCCAGGAACTGTCTCAATTTCCTTTTCGAATTAGGTACTGCAATATTTTTTATGGTAAGAATTTTCTCTGGTAATGGCTTTATTTCTCCGTTTCCCACTTTATGTCCCAACAATATGACGCTGTTTTTCGCTATCTGCGACTTTTCCTTATTAATTCGAAGCCCAAATTCGTCAATTCGCTTTAAGACCGCTTCCACATGCTTGACGTGATCTGTTTCCGTCAGGCTGTATACAACTACATCGTCGCCATATACCTCAACATTATCTAGATTCTTAAGCAGCAGCGTCATCAATCTTCTGAACGTGAACGGTGCACCAGCCAACCCGAACGGCATTCTTTTAAATTGATACTGTTTATCCCGTATAGTAAATGCTGTCTTTTTGCGATCGCTATCTTTTATAGGTAGTTGCCAATAACCTGACCGTAAATCCAGCACTGTAAACACCGTGGCATTCTGTAATCGATCTAATGTTTCTACTACTGTTGGCATTGCGCACGGTTTCAGGTCTGTTATATTATTCAGTTCTCTAAAGTCGACGCAAAATCTATACTTTCCGTTGGGTTTCTTTACCAAGAGTACCGGTGAGCTATACGGGCTGTCTGCTTCCTCAATTATACCTTCCTTCAACATTTCCTGGACCTGTCGATTTACCTCGGCCTCTAAATGCACTGGGACACGACGTGTTGTAAATATATTTACTCGGTCGTTCTTTATAGGAATTTCATGCTTTACTTTGTCACAAAATCCATACGGCTCCCCATCTCCAGTGAACAGTTTCGCATACTTTGCGCATAACTCGTTAACGTTAGGTTTCTTGGTCGAGACGTCCGTTGCCATCCTTATTTCAGCCACTTCGCTACTTTCATGTATTGGCAATGAACCGTACTTTGTGACCATTTTCCCGCTTCTCAAGTCAATTATCGCTTTTACCTCTCTTAGGAAATCTGCTCCTAATATCGGTCTCGATAAGCTTGTGGTTACCACGAACGGAAAATTTATCTCAGCTCCACTCATTTTTACAATACTGTTAGATACCCCCAACACCTCTAGCATATGCCCTCCTATGGTGTGGACAGCTAATGTACATGGTTTAATTGTCTTACATTGCTCTTTGCTTATTAACGATATAGCTGCCCCTGTATCAATCAAACACACTAACTCCCGTTCATTTATGTACACTCTGGCATAAATTGCCCCTCTATCTACTAGTGCAAGAACCTCCCAATTCCTAGGGTGGAAAGAAAACACGTTATAATGTTTAAAATATCGTCGTCGTCGTCTTCTTGGACAGTTTATCTTCCAATGTCCTGCCTCTCCACAAGCGTAACATTTATCGTTCCTTTTATGATTTACTCGTAATGCTGCTATCTCACGCTCTAACTCCTCAATCTTCTTCTCGAAAGTATTTATC